ATTTTTTTAGTCCCCCCCCCCCCCCCAACTTTTTTCACTGATTTTCTTTTCTGCTCGGAGGTACAGAGCAGAGTAGCCAAGCCGAATGGCTCTCGGCTATTCACTCACTGCCGCTCGGCCACTATGAGAATAGCCCGAACGGCGGCGAGTAGCCTGCCGGAGGTTCGGCTCAGCCAATTTAGATGTTGGATCGGCTGAATCCAACGTGTTCTTCACTTCGCTTCAGTCAAACATGCTCAGCATGTTCGTCTGAACCGAAGCTAGCCGAAGCAAGCCGATGTAAGGCTAATTTCAGCCAATGTACGGCTGAAATTAGCCCTACTGAGCTAAAGTGAATAGCATTCGGCTTTGTTCACTTCGGCTCGGTTATTCACTCGACTGCCTTCGGCAGCTTTGTGAATAACCCTCTAGAGTCTTTGTTGTGATCGTTGAGAAAGAATAACTTCACATTAAAAACAGTCATACATAAGACCCGTTTTCTAGTGTGCAGAGTGAAGACAAAATATTTGTGCAATTTTTTAAACAACCCTTAGCACAATTATACAGTGATGTGTATTTGATTTGTAAAAAAAAGCAATATTGAAGGCAAAAAAAGTGCACATGTTCACATGTCTCTGCATTAATCCAAAAACAGTTTACCATTCCTAAACATCCCCACTGATAAATTAGCTTACACAAGCTTCATACTGTCTCTGTAGATCAGTGAAGGCTGAAATTAAGAAAACTTTTGCAATATATCCTTCGAAGTCTCATTGCTGCAATAGCTCACTGTAAGATATATAGTCAAATAGATATATGTTAAGGTTGTGCACAATGTCACTGCTTAGAGAAATCTTAGCATGTCAATCCTGAGAAAAAAAGGGTTTAGAGGTTTCAGAGCTCCTTCTTCAATGGTGGAATTCATGTAAGAAATTCACAACAGCCCCATTCTTGTGGTTCCTAGCTTGTACTGTGTATTTTTTAACAAGGTTGCACACGTTTGCACATCTACAGTTATATGAAAAAAGTAAGTACACCGCATAGAAATTGTTGACTTTTTCAACATATTTGAACAGGCAAATGTTAGATCTTCATTCAAACAATCCCCACAGATAGAAGTGATATACACATACTACAAAAAAAATGACATGATGTACTCATTCTCATAATCTAAATTAACTTAAAAGCAGATTTGTCATGTGGAAAAAGTAAGTATACCCCTACATTTACAATCACTTCAAATCCATGAAAACAACCACCTATGTTTCCCACTATGAAAAAAAAATCTCAAATATCATTGGGGATAGGAAAGGTATAAGTAGTCTTACATACTATAGCAGCAAACATATTACCTTTAATGCAAATAATATAAATCTGATTACATGAATAAAATAAAAAAAACATAAAATTACTTAAAACTAGAGGGACCGCTCTAACCTCTGCTATAGACATGTGTGGTCTCATCATACAAATATCAAGAGCTCTCTGAGGCCGGTCCTCAAAAAGAAGGTTGTGGATGCCTATGAGTCTAGCAACAGATTTTAAAAAATTGCCAAATTATTTAAAATCAATAATTCCACTGTAAGGAAAATAAGTGGTGTAGCTTTCAAATGACTAAAATTTTGTACATGATGGGCTGGTCCAGCAAACTCAGCCCGAGAACTTACAGTCTGATACTTAACATTTTTTCCAGGAACTCCAAAATTTTATTGCAGTTTCTACAGGTAACTCTTGAAACAGCTGGTGTGAAAGTACTTGCATTTACAATCAGAAAGAGATTGTACCAATTTAACCATGGGAGGTTTAACAGGAAAAAACATATGCTGCTCAAAAAAGAACATTAGAGGATATAGGCAAAGACCATGGGGGTGATTTACTAACCTAAACACATGCACGCACTAGGTGCGTGTGATTTTTACACAGCAAAACGTATTTATCAAGCAAAAAGTCTCTAAAAGCATATTTCCACTAATGCCATATATGGAAAAATCATGCATGATGCATATATAATGCTGCTCCACAGTTTAGACAAAAATGGTTAGCTCATGCATTTACATTCCTGCATTCATCAACGCAAGCAACACAATGTAGAGCTAATTTACACAACATCACCTTGCAATTCATGCAGGGCTTTGCACAACACACCTGCTGGGTGTGTACACACTACAAAGGTGTCTAGATTCCACCAATAGATCATGCTAGGAGGGAACACACTACAGAGGTGTATACTTGTTTGTGGCGTGTTTATAAGGTTAGTAAATCAACCCCCATGTCTTATCGAAACAATGTGCTGTGGACTGATAATGCAAAGATAAACTTGTTTGGCTACGGTAACAGTAGACATGCTTGGCACAAACTGAAGACAGCATTTCAGAGGAAGGAATTGTTTTGCTGTTTCAGGGAAGCTTAAAGTCATAGGGATTGGTTTACTAAAAACAAATAGGCTATTCACTTTGCAAGGGAATGTTCAATTTGCAGAGGAATTTTACCTTAGCTTAGTCTGCTGACTTCCATAATCCAATCAGGTTCACGCAAAAACCCTGTTTTTATTTATTTTCCTTGTATACCACTGGGTACTCTTTGCAAAGTAAATTTTCAGCTCATTTACTAAGGTAAGGAAAAATTCCATTCTAAAGTGAAAATTTCCTTGCAAAGTGAACAGCCTATTTGCCTTCAGTCAACTATGAATTCTGCATTGAATCAAAGTGAGCTTGACGTGGGGCCATCTGTCTGAAAATTAAACAGGAACTGATCCATGATAATGAACACCATAATGACCCAAAGCACACTAGCAAATCCACCAAGAGTTTGCCAAAAAGAAGTAATGGAAGGTTGTGGGGCTCCCAGGCATTTCATGCAAGGAAACCCACAAACATCTTGCAACTGAAGAATGTTTCATAACGTTCATAAAGTCTCAGAGACTGGTGGGCCGGTATGCAAATTGACTACAATAAATCATTACTGCTAAAAGGGGGAAATACTAGTATAAATTGGTAGGCAGATTTCTACTGATGTTTACCTGTGCCTAAACTCCAACTTCCAGAGAAATAAAGAGAGATTCAAGAATTTATCAGTTTACAATAAAAAAATCATTAAAATGAAATAAAGTTGTAGCCCCTCCTCCATGCTACACATAGAAAACACATTCACAGGTAATTATAAAATAATTATACATAAGCCATAAAAACTGCTCTCCCAATTATAATCTAGTTGGTCACCTGTTACTTTTGTTTATTAGTTTTGAACCTGCTTAGTTTCTGAGCATACCTGAACTCTGTGTTTAGTCCAATAAACAGGAGCATTCCTGAACCTTTAAGAAGTAGCACTCTGCTGTAAAAAAAAAAAAGCCAGGATAACAGTGGAAGGTAACTAGGGCTAAGGGATGTAGCTAAGATCCTGTGCCACTGCATAAATAAGTACATCCTTGTACGCTGGATTGAACTGTATTGATGATGTTGTGCAATGTAAGACATGAAGTCTCAGTTTTCTTGGGGTTTCAAAGTTCAGGTAAAATGCCAGAAACCCGTGCTTATCTTCTGATCTATCCTTCTAAAAATGCTAGTTGCCTAACTTTTTAATAATGTGTGAAACACTTAACAGAAACAAGTATGCAGATCTGGTGATTTGATTTCAAGATGATATTCTTTATTACAAACAAGTCATTACCTAGCTTAGTTATTACCAACAGTGGCCCCCCAACCTGATTCACACAAAGATGTAATAAGTAATCTACATTCGAGATGAGAACTGGTTTGCAGACTTCAAATTCAGCTGCTGCTGACAAAAAAAAATTCTAAGTGTATAATACAAACGTTTAGTAAGCTTAATGAAAGATGTTATTCTCACTGGAGTTCCTCTCAAATTTGACAAGTTATGTGACAGTGAAGCAAAAGGGAAATTAAAAATAAATGCATCAGGGGATAAATGATCTCAATAAAAAAAAGATACGTACCTGGAAGCGGTGAAAATCAGAAGGTTTGAAGTCATTTGGAGAACAGCCACACCAGTCAACAATGTGTTTGTATTGACATTTGCAGCCTAGTTTTCTATTCCAGTTAGTAATTCGCAAATTATTATCAACCATGGTGTCACAGTAAGGGCTGTTTTCCAACACCGTATGAAAGAAGGACTGAAATAAAGAAAAATAATAGAGGCCTGAGAGTCAATACCATCTTAAAAGAAACACCCATCCTATTATTTTTGCATGCTAATGAATACATTTTACTGTGTAATGTGAAAATAGGTGAATACGTGCCTAAGTACATTGAAAAGTCCTACACTGATCCTCTTAATTAAACATTTTTATATATTTAAAATGATTTTAAATAGGTTTCTTGTCTCACTGAGTGTTTACTTCTATTCTGCATGATTATAGGTGGGTAGATTCAACCTAGCATTAGACAAACAAAAGGCTTTAGAGTGGACCTGAAAAAAAAAATGAAGATTCAATATGTTAGAAGAACATCTATAAGAAATATTGATGAGTGGTGAGGAGGTGGGCTCTTTCCCACACTCCACACTATCCCACCAACATACTACCTAAAAAATGTGCAAATGAAAGTAAACAACCAACACCCAAACATTTAAACAACAAACACTCAAAATAACCCAAATCTTGGTGTAAAAATATAAGAAACTATTACATCCACTTTACTGGAATTATTAGAGTCCCAAATCAACCCATAGTCACTAGAAATACAGTCCCCTCAGAGTGATGTGATAAAAACTTTTACCACCTCTAGTGTTAAAAGCCACAATCCAATATGATACGGTTTCACCATGAACATGAATCATGAATTCCAATTAAATCCATAATCCTTAGAAATACAGTATGCTCAAAGTGATGTGATAAAAAAGTTTTGCCACCTCTAGTGTTAAAAGCCACGATCTACTGTGATATTGTTTCAACATGAACATAAATCCTGCTCACCTTTTGCTCTGGATCATAACTTAAATATCTTAGTATGGCCATTAATGCCTCCCCTTCCCTTCAGATATAGGTTTACAAGAATTTATCAAGATATAAACTCAATATATGCACAATTAGTCAATACTTTATTGTGTCTGAAGCAACATTCAAAAATGGCTAGGATGAGTTTATCAAATATGAACTAAAATAGCATATATGCATAAATTAGTAGTGCATAAACCCACATACCCGAGTGCTAAATCTATGTCATACCCACAAGAGCGGCTAACATATATCATATAGGCTGCACCTAACAGGCAGAAGTAATCTACTAATAATATATAATATAAGCCATAAATACATTAGCAGCCATCTAACTGCACTGTGAAGAAACATCAAAGGATACATTACATACAAAAAAAGTGACATAAAATATTTTTTCTAAAAAAAGGAAACATTGTGAAAAACGTATTGAATCATTTTAGGCATCCAATGGCCGAACAACTAAAAAAACAGATGTAACATACAGTTGTAGAGTGACAAAATATTATGCGTACTTGCTTTTATGGCATTAACTAATTGTAATAACCACAGACTACAAATAATATTTAAAACCATAAACTAAAACCATCTAGTCTACTATGGACACCATATTAATCATATCACCCTTATCTTCTTGTCCAATCCTCTTTATAACATATTTTCAGTATTCCTACTTTCATATCCCTTCCACACAATCCTGTCTTTTAACCCCTTCGTGACTTGAGACATACACTTTATATGCCCGCCACTAAGTGCACTGTATGTGAGCAGCCATTTGGGGCTCTGTTATGCCGGTATCCGCTGAGAATCAGCGGTTATCGTTTATTAATGGATGCCTCAGTATTGAGGCGTCCATTAATGAAAGAGTTAAGCTTTTATAGACACCCGATCCCTTTTAGGAATCGGGTATCTGACAATGATAACAGGGCACTATTTACCGCACTTGCTGTCACTGTTGACAGCTGGTACCTATCAGGAAATCCCAACGTGTGCTGGCTTTTTGCTAAATGTTTCAGAACAGAAACATTTAGCTACATGTTTCTATTGTGAAACATTGTTTCAGGCTTCTGATCTGTACATGTACAAGACTAGACTGGAGAAAAATTAAAAAGTTAGGAGGCAGCTGTCATTTTTAAAGGCGCATACGGATGCACCGATACTATTTTTTCAAGTACAAGTACTGATACTTGTCCAAGTACTCACAGATACAAGTACTGATACATTTTTGTTTATTGTCATGTGACAGTTTTGCTAAGACAATACAGACTGATGATTTTAGGACAGTGGTGAAGTGTCCGAGCTAGGTCCCAGCTGCGACCCTGGTAGTTATCGTGAAAATGCCAAGTATCGGCATTTTCACAAGAACTTGGCATTCACGAGGCATTATCTGAACTGGTACCTGAACACCCCTAGTATATATATAGATAGATATATGTATCTATCGATCTATATATATAGATAGATAGATACATATATCTATCTATATATATATATATAGATAGATATACTGTGTATATCTATCTATATATATAATAATTCAGGATTTATATAGCACCAACAGTTTGTGCAGCGCTTTACAATATAAAGAAGACATTACAATCAAAATACAATTTAAGACAAGATGGTAAGGAGGGCCCTGCCCCTGAGGGCTTGCAATCTAAAGGAAAGGGCAAGTGATACATGAGGAGGTAGTTGCGTGGGGATGAATTGTTTGAGAACAATTGTTTGAGAATATATATATATATATATTACTACAACTTTGTATGGTGGACATGTGACTAAATCATCACTCATGGTTACTTAACTATGCCAATGTCAGTTTCTGACATCTAAAAATTAATTGAGATGCTTTGGCTACATGCATATTTTGGATAAGCTGTTTAGGGATGTATCTCAGTAGTTTTTTTTACAAACATCATAGTTACTGTATATTGTAATTACTTTATATCATCTGTATGGGTGTCAGATGAGTATTCACAAAATAATGTTAAATTAATTTACTGTTATATACAGGGGTACGGGTACTCCTAGAATGAGATCCTAATAGGTTGGACTTGATGGACTAATGTCTTTATTCAACCTCAAATACTATGTAACATGCCACGAGAAAAAGGTATCCTGCACCAAAATGAAGCTATCACCATAAAAAGACAAGGCTGTATAGGTGTTCATTTTATCATACAGTTTTTACTTATTAGTCCCATTCAAAGAATTGCTTAGGGGTAAAATGAAAATTTCCCAATGCAGGGGGTAAAGTCACTGGGTTCCAATATTAGAGAAACCACATTGGTTTCCTCCATTTTATTACCCTGTATGGAGGATGAAATCCTTAACATAAAAATACGATTACTACAGATGTTATAGCCTCCATCCTAGAGGCTCATACATAAGATGAAATTGCTTCTGAAGTGTTCATACTAGCTGCTTAAAAAGATAAAATGGTTTAACTTAATTGATCCAGGGAACAGAGTAAGTTGCTTTTTTAAAACATTATGTTCTATCTGCACTGTACAGTCTTCAAGGTATCCGTGCTTTAACCTTAATCTTTTCCAACTTCATTCAAGTGTAAGCTAAAGTACTACCTGAGCTCTGAAGCACTTATACTAGGTTTGACATCAAGGTCATTTAGTGGGTGATAAAAAAAGGATAGTGAATGAATATAAAACATTATCAAGGTTATGCACTAAAGGGTGAAGAGTTTGGAAGGCCAGGAGAAGTGAACAATCTAGGACAAAATAGCTGATTTGGATACATTTTCCAATTCAGCTCACTTTCCAGTTCAGCTATGTTGTCCTCGATTGTTCAATTCTCCTGCCTTCTCCAAACTCACTTCACCCTTTAGTGAATAACCTTGTATATTTTACAGGCAATGAACATGTAACAATACGTTTTATACTTATTGATGTTAACACATGCCATTCAACAACATCGGATGGCCGATCGGTCACAGAATCGCACACCACCGCTGATCTCGCTGGCGGTGCCATTCTTTTCTAATGATACCCCCGTCACAGCAAGTAGATTGCACGGTTTCCCACCGCGATTCCGCCCGTGCAATCGCAGCTGAAAAAAACACGCACTGCGAAAAAAGGTACATGTACCTTTTTCCAGTGATTGTTGCACGTATATATAACACATTGAAACCAATAGGGCTGCACGGCAACCGCTGTGCGAACCTGGCCTTGAGCTTTGAGACAAATTTGTGATAATGATGGGTTGGAACAGAGATGGTGCAGCCCATGGCAAATTAGTTATTTATTGTTAATCAAGTAACTTGTACTACAAAATTTACAACTGCAATCTGAATAGTTGCAATGCATAATGCAAACCTTTAATGTTTTAACAGCTTTCATAAAACAGCTTTTGTCACCAAAGCATATGTAGAACTATCAAGTGTCCTTTTTTTAATCCGATATGCACTTGGCTGTTCAAAAAAATATACTGTGAATAAATATTACATTTTGATGAAAAAATACTTAACATACTGTAAGCCATAAAATGGAATTTGCTGCCATCATTCAGCAATCTAATTTCTTCTTCGAACTATCAGTCATATTATCTGCGATAGGTTACTGTACAAGTATAGCAATTTTAGGTTTACATGCAAGATATATCTAAAATCTAAAATGCCCTTCATCTTTTAATTTACTCTGGAAACTGGACTAACACCAGTCATCATAAGCCTTGCTACAGGGTCTATTTACAATGAAATGCAAGTTCCAGTTCTAGGGTGCTCTCCAGTCATAACATCGAAAAGACAACAATGTTTTTCAGAGAACCAATGTGAACTGCAAAACTGCAAAAGAAACTGAACTGCAAAAGAATCCATAGGCATCCTAGAAACCATAATGTTACACCCAATGCTTGTAAAGTAAAGGGATTACTCTGTTTTCTAAGAAGTTTTAGACTTTCTAGAGATAGCTCTGGTTTTCTCTTGTCAGCTATTAGACCCCTAATGTCACCTAGCGACCCCAAAGAAGCTGATGAAGCAGAGATCTGTTTCTTCAGCTTCTTCTATAGCTACAGAAAACTGAGAAATGACAGTCTGAAAGTGATGTAATTCACATCACTTCTGGATTCAGTGATTGGAGGGGAGATCAGTCGGTGGAATGTGGAATCCATCCACAGAGATGTGCCAGTCCTGGGCCTGCATGTGATGCCTGGGATAAGCAGCAGCG